TACTGATAAATCGATTTTGGGTTAACACTGTGTGCATCATGATCTGAGACATTCACAAGAAAACTATTCTCATTAAGAGATTTTAAAATAATTCAAAAACGATTTATCAATTGAGAGACTTCATTCGTTGGTTTGTTTTGAAGAACATTTCTAAATACGAAACGAACTGAATATAAGTATGATACAGAGACCGTCACAGGGTGCTTTTTTCGCCCTGCCCTGTCCTCAGGGCACGACACAGGGCATATACAGGTTAGAATAATACTTCTAAACTGAGTATGTCTATTGCAAGATTTTAAGCTTCGATAAAACAAGGAGATTTTCAGGTACTTTTAGTTACTAAATCCCGTGGAATACCAGGTTTTTCACTAGAAAAAAGAAACTTTTATTAAGAAAAAAAGTAATTTTAGTTTCAAAAAAATGTTTCTTTTACTAGGGTTACATTTTCTTTACTTTATGAAATAAATATAAGTACAATCTTTATATTTATAAAATAAACACCAGCATAATTCTTTAAGTTTTTTTAAATGAAGATTAAAAATTTTTTTATCTTTCAAAAATAAAAATAAATAAAAAGAAACTATTATTTAAAAAATGAAAATAAATGAAATCTTCTTATTTACAAAATAACAATATAGATTTTTTCTTATTTACCTTTATAGAAAGCAAAGATAAAATAAATAATAAAGAAACCTTTTCTATGAGAATCTAATCTTTAATTTTTCACCAAGTAGCTCACAGAAAGATACGACACCATAGATGGAAATGAAATATACAGAAAATTGTTTTGCATATATATTCTTTTTTTCTTGTACCCGCTTGACTTTCTAATGATATCACATGTCGAAGTGATATTCATGGCAAGAAAGAATATTGATTAAAATATTCAGTTGTTATACTATAGGTATTTCTCAATCTATCTATGACAGAACAAATCTTTCTGTATTCTTTATTTTTAAATAATAAAGATTTATTTTTTTTTATTTTTATTTCTTCCGCCAATGCAAAGAATTTCATTATTTTAATTTTAAAAAGATAGATATTTTATTTATACTTATTCTTTACTATAATTAAAAAGAAAGTAAGGCATCCATTTGTTACTGAAAAAACAAGTTTCTATGTGCTGAATTTCATAAAGTCAGCAGAATTTCCGACACAAAACTCTTGATAATTCATGGTCTTCGGTTATGCTTTGTGAAATTTTTTAGCGCATGGTCTTCTAATAAAAAATGATCTTCTATTCTTGATCCGTGTTTGATAAAAATCGACCATCTTTCAATTTAGTCAATAAAAATTGGGTCTTTCGAATGAAAGGTAACTGTTTATTTGATTTTCTTCCTTGCAATTTTTTCTTTGTTCATAAACTTTTTGAGCAAGCAGTCATTTCATATTGAGATTTCTTAAGACGCGTAGCAGAAAAAAAATAGACTCGATTACATTTCTAATCAATTTCATTTTATAAGCAAGACTTATATCATTGAAAATTATTTTTGAAAAGGCAATTTACATGAAATAATTAGATTAAAATTTAATAAAAACATTGCCATTTTAATCGATTTTTTTATCAGAAAAACTAAACTAGAATCAGACTTTTTTCATTTTTTTGGCACAGGGCAGGGCAGGGCAGGGCAACCCTGCCCTACGACGGTCTCTAGTTAATATGTCACATAAAGAATAATGAAAAATGCCAATCATCGTTATGCATGTCTATCGAAGATCGATATGTGGTTCGAATGGAAGCATCAGAAAAAAACTGTGATAGAAATGTATTAAATCAGTATTTACATTCAGCTATATATATTTTTTTTATGTAAAATATGTTTTACACGAAGGATGCCGCTACAAAACAATGATGATTGACATAGCGTATAAGCAATTTTTCTTGAGAACAATGCAGATATAAGATGTCACTCAAAACAATTCCCTAATTTTAGTTGACCAAAAGAATTCAACATCGCACATAATCTATCAATGACATACTTCATATCAGAGATGTCCATCGCGGCGCTGCCGTGGTGGCGGGTAGCGGCGCGGCAGCGCCATGTTTTTTTTAAATCATCGCGGCGCGGGAGAAATTTGAAAATATCATCGCGGCAGCGGCAGGCTCCTTTTAGAAGACATTGCCAAAACTTCATGAATTTGCCAAAACTTCATGAATTTGCCAAAAATTGAGTGTCCACAAACGTAACACTTTAAGACTCAATGAATCTCATCGATTAGTGACAAGAATTGTATTTCAATGCATTCACAGCAATGAAATTCGAAACTTTTTTTCGAGTACCATCGCGGCAGCGACAGATTTCGAGCCGCGATGGACATCTCTGCTTCATATTCTATAAATACTCTCGTTTCGAAATGAGTTCTGTTCTCAGCATTTTAATGATCGTTCATTTCAACACCGGTTTAATAATGCATGAAGATACATTCATAGACTAAATATTTCTTCAATTATGACTATGACCGCCCATAGAACAGGAAGAATATGCACAATTAACTTTTTTTCTATGTTTCATTGAATGAGTATTTTTCTTCTTTCGTGACCGCTTGACCTTATTCATTTTTGAATAAATAGTTGGAATAAAGAAGAAGGAAAGTATTACTGTAATATGAAGAATATTAACAAATATTTCAAACAAAGTTTAGACTAAAACTAATATCAACAAATACAACATATCTTGTCACAAATTCTTATTTGTTGAAATAATTTCAAAAACTATAAGAATGAACAATGATATGCAAATAATAATAGCTACTAGTTTTAGTTTATTGATCACATTTACGTTTTATAACGCCTTAAATGAGAAACGAGCAAGCAATTCGCTCTTTCAACATATCATTGCTGATACTTTTCATAATACTTTCTTATCTTCAGCCTGTCTTATCAATCAACGAAGTATGTATTTTTGAAAAATAAATTTTACTATACTGGATGTTATTTATATAGATAATACGTCTTGTTCAGTTTCTCTAAGTACAAATGACAAACGAAATATGTTAATCTTGGGGAGTTGTGCATTTTTCTTTATGGCACTGATATGGTATTGTGGTTCTAAAATAGTACCTCTCTTATTATTAGGGATATTGATGATAATAAATGCATGGTTGTTAGCTCGATGGTGCGATAGTTTTCACTTTTGGTATTCAGTAGATATATTAACTGTTTATTTTCTTGTATGGCAATTTAGTTATCTTATGTTTCAATGGTGTTTTCATAAACTCTCATGGCCTTGTTTAATTTTTTATCAATCATCAATATGTATATTAACAGCTATTGAATCATTCATATTTTATGATTTATTTTTTCGTTATTTTCCGTCAATTACTCTTGTTATGATTTGGTTTGCTTGTTTCGATGACATGTAAGTAAATTATGCATTCAGAAAAAATATCTTATGAAATTTCTCAATCGTTCATTTTCGTTGCGTTAGTCATAACATTTAGTTACAATAATTATTTCCTCATACTTAACGTAACATAATCTTTGTGAAAACTAAAACAATTATAATTTCTTGAGTATAAAATACTTAGAATTTTCAAATGAAAATTTAGACTTGAAACATGTTCTAATAAACTATCATATTAATATATATCAATAATAAATGTTTTTGTTTTTCATGCTTTTGCAAAAAATGAAGGTTTCATTTTCTTTTTGGATTAATTATTCTTTAATGTCTCTTTATCTTTTTATGTAGCATTGCATGTCTGTATATTCATGGTCGATTGCGTAATTTTATGAAAGATAATTCTATGAATTACTTAATGCCAACATATCCAACATTTCCGGTCTTTTCCTATTATACACATGACATTGAAAATGGAATAGATGCGATCAAAGGTTACAGAGCTTTGGGTGATAGTGATTTTTTCATATATAATTTGCTTCTTCTTTGGCTACTATCACCATTATCATCAACAATTAAACAAATGTTACTGCTTTTTGGTTTGACTGTCAATATACAAATTGGTCTTATGATCACGGATTGGATTAGATCTCTTTGGAAAGAATACCAAATGCCAGCTTTACCTCTTCCTGTAATCTTTGTTTCAGCATATGTTCTAATTATTGATTTTATTATAAAAAATTTCGATATTGATTATATCAACATATTAGATTGTGTATGAAATAAATTCATTTTGTTTGATTGAATAAATGAATTATATATATATTTTAATCTACTTAAGTATATACGAAGAAACTTGACACTTTTTTTATCATTGATTTCAATCAAATGACATTTTATTGACATAATTAATAATTGTGGAAGATCTCTCTAATCAATACTCATGTCACAAAAAACTTCCACTGAATTTTTCGAGAGTTTTTTAATAAATATAGTATTAGTAAGCGAATTGTTAGTGATAGAATTTTTCGGTTGACCCAATCAAACGAAGTTTCATTATTTGTAATATCAGAATTCAGTTGCTATTGAAAAAAATATCATTTTTAACTTGAAAATTAAAGAATAATAATGACTAGTCCTAATTCCAAGTGACAAAAGTTCAAGAGCGTGGTATATGCGCTTAGTTTCCATCATTAAGAAAGTCAATAAATCGAATATTTTTCTATTATTGATAAATGGATCAGATTTTAAGTAAAAGACAGTGAGAAGAATTAGAAACGAGAGTAAACTGTTGAAATAGAATTCTATCAAGCATCGATCAAACTGATTTTTCAAGTGATTTGGGATCTTTTCTGATCTGATCTCATAAATCTGAAGAAAATTCTACTGTCTATTGTACAGAATATTCTTTCAGAGATCTTTTACAGTCAGAGAACTTACTACTAATTCGAGCGAATGAGCATAGAATTTGATGATTGTATGAACTAAGATTCTGTCTGTAATATGTCTAAAGTCAAAGGCCACTTTCTAGCATCAAAGAAGTTAACCTGATAAATAGCGATAGCTCGTACTTGGTCACATGGTGAAATATGTTATATACCTACCATTCGAACACAATTCTCGTAATCATCTTTAACTTTTCAATATAAGCACTCAAGGAGCTACACCTTAATGATAATCAAATCAGAGATAATTGAGCACAAGATCTAGCAAATGGGCTTAAAGATAATAAAGAAATTTTTCTATTAGTTTCATAAAGTGAAAATCTTGATTCTGTCATAAACTCTCGTGCAAAGTTCTCAATTATCAGCAGTCAAAGTCTATCATAGAGTAGAAAGATTATTAGAAAAATTTGTCAAGAATTTATTTTGTCACCGTTCAAGAATTTATACCAATGTATTACTTGTTTGTAGAGAATCCGTAAAATAACAAACGTTGAATTTCTCACCAACTATTTTCATGTTAACTTGAATGTAGTTTGCTGTGTAACAGATGATTTGTACAATCATAAATTTATTCATTGAAAAGCTAACAAATGAAGATTTTTCCATGCTTTTTTTAAAATTAAAATCTAGGAAAATGAACAATTTTCAGTGATGAAAAGTACAGCTGTAGTTAGCATAAAGCATTTCCACTTCCCTTATGAATCTTTACTGGAAGTGAGAAGTTCAATATTTAATTCGAAAATTTATTAATCCTTTGGGGACGGGAAGCACATATGTGTACTTTGATTCATGACAGTATAGATCATAGATTTATAATTTTCGATGCGAGTGTGGGTGTGGAGTGCGGGTGTTCTTCTTCTTGCAGTCACGCCCACGCCTACAGTTACAGCCACAACACACCCGTACTACGCTCAAGCCTAAACCTACTCCTACATTCACACATCCACACTCTATATTTGCGAATAAATGACTTGTTAAGTATTTCAGAAAGTTTTATTTCTTTTCGACTACAGTAACTCCGTCTCCAAAGGTTTAAACTAAAAAAACACAGTTTCTAAACTTCTAAGCTTATTAATCATGCTTGATAAACATCTTATCATGTTCAAGATTTTTCAACGAAGAAATAGTTACACGCTTCGTTCACAAAACAACCGATGTTCTTTGGTAACAATCCAGAATTGTTTACTTTTCTAGAATGAACGGTACAATTCGCCTCATTGCTGACCAAATTTTCTTATGCGTACCACAAAACTCGGAAGGAATATTCGACTGCGTTTGATCTTAACCCATTCTAAATAACCCATAAATGAAGCATAAAAAGTCTTTTAGTAGCTAAACTAATAGACGACCCGATCAATGTTACTGAAATAAAAAACGAACCATTGTTGCTGATGCTTTTAAGCGAATGATGATTTGCGCTGTTTTTAATAAAGTTGTACTTTGTTTTTGCATATTCTGACATTTTAGAAGAATGCTTCGCTTACGCGTATCCGGTAATGTCTTTAAAAGCATGATCACTTCGAAAATGTCCTTCGACTATCAAATGTTCTCCTGGTAAAATGTGAACTAGGGTGAAAATATGATTGAGGTTGTTCATGTTTGTTCGCCCTCACTCATCATCACCATTAATAGTTCTTTTTTTTTTGCATTAAAATTTTTCAATTGAAAATTATAGGCATCAATAACAAACATTATTTTTCTTTGATTTGACCTGGTTGTTGTTATGATAGGCTTAGATAAGCTCCAAAATGACGATAAAAAAAAGCAAGATACTGTTTCGTTCATCCCTATTTCGTGTCTCAAAGCCATTCAAAAGCTACTGTGCATTGATGGGCAACAAAGTACGATATGAAAAAAACTAATCATGTTATAATAAAAAAATGTTGTTTTTTAATTCTGTTAGATTTGTTCTATATACAAAATAAATCCTTCACATATACAACTTATATGTATATATATGTCGATGTATGCTTGGATTAAGTATAATCTACTTTCCAATAATAATATTTAGAAAAGAACAACTATGTTGTTGCTGAGCGCATTTTTATACTGGGGAATAGTTTTCATTGACATTTTGACCGAGAACATTTTATGCAAAGACAATTATGTGAGAACATTTATTTTCAGAGACAAGTCATAGACTTTTTTTCAGGTATATATTAGACCGCATTTGATTGGACACGAATACATATCACAACATGTGTCATAGATTATGACCCATGTTACAGGTTATTTTTCGAAGATTACTCCAAAATTATTTGATCTGTACTATTTAATTTTAAATATGAATTATTGAAGTTTTTGAATTTAGGTGTTATGAATAGGAATAGATCTACGGAGATAATTTCATTTGTTTTTAGACATTAAAGCGTACAATACCAGTGGTCACTAGATCCTTCTAAGCAGCATCTGTTCGTGCGGCACCAGTCTTTATGGATAGAAAGAGTCATTCATTATATCAAAGAAGCATCAGTCGAACTTCTTGTTTTTCCTGAAACATTTATTCCTGGTTATCCACATGTCATTAATTGCTACCCAATCTATACTCCATCAATAGCACTCGCCGAATATATTGAACAGTCTATCGAGATCTTCGGATCGGAAATCAACTGTATTCAAGAAGCCTGTCGTGATTATGGAGTGTGCATCATTCTAAGTATCTCTGAGCGAATGTCAGATACTCATAACATAATTCAATAAAAATGTTTGCACACAAATATTTATTTTGCACCTATAGATTTGTTTGCACTCATGCAAATTTTAATGGTTTCATATCTTTCTACTCATAGGTTTTTTCGTGATTTGATAATGGCAAAAAAAGAACCCTGTAATCACTTTCTGTTCTCTACATTAGATTTGATAGAGACGTACAAGACGAAAATTATTTCCCTTAAATCAACTAAGTTTTTCTTGAGACAATTGTATTTTATTGAATCTTTCTGATGTCATCTTTAATGAATGACAACAGGTGCTGAAAAAATGATTTGGGCAAATGGAGGTGGTGACACTTTGCGTACTTATCCATCAAAACGTGGTATTCTGGATGGTTGATCATTTTGGGGTAATGCAATGAATGGTGCACGACAAGCACTTATTCAACAAGGTGAACAGATTCATACAGGTGCATGGCCTGCTCTAAATGCCATAACTGGAATGGAAGAGTTGGCCCATGTTCAAAGTAATAAATCAATATATCTATTTGCAAAATAGTTCAAAATCTCGAGTATCGATTTCTTTTGTCACGAGTTTGAGCGTAGGCAATGAAAAACACAACATAGCAGAATCCACTGTATAACGAAATTTCTAACAGTCGACATGTTAAGGTGCAAAAAGATTCTTTATGAGTTCCAATTAAGTACATATAAAAGTCAAAAAAATATATAGATAAAACCAAAAATCATTTTTAACATATTTTACTTACGTAGTTTGAATGTTTTGACTATGAGAAGAAAGCATTCGTTCAAAAGCGTGACTGAATAAATTTCAGCATGATTGTAGTCAAGTAAGATGGATTCACTATTATGAGACGATATAGCATAAAATGTTTTGTTTTTCTGGCCTTGAAGTACACTTTTACGAAATAGAATTGGTCGTTGACGAGCTCAAGTTCTGCTCTTTTCAATCATTCATTACATGAGAAAGATCCAAAAATAGTCTTTTTGCTGAACGAAACAAACGAGTTAATGATCGCATTCTGGTATTTTGTTGGAAAGCACTTGTCTATTGAAAAGTTTACTAGAAATTCAATTTCCAGAGCGTGCCTTTTTATGTGATCTTGCTTTATTAGATACTTCTCTTTCAATATATTTATTTATTAAATTGTGGTGTCTATAATATTTTAATTAAGATTGATGCAATGATGAAAAATCATGTACTAACTGATCAATGCTGGTAATCTATGCGTCCAACACGGTTGATCAGCTTTGTCTTGATTGAATAACAACTAAATTAGATAAACAAGAATTTGGAAGAGATGTGAGCGGAATTCTTCATCCTTTCAATATACGTCTTGCTGGACCTCATAAAGGTTTGGAATAGAAACTTGTCATTGGTGAAAACGATCTCAGTCAACTTGGCATAATCAAAGTCTTCATAGATTCAGCTGGACATTATAGTCGACCGGAAGTTCTTTAGAACAATGTTAATCATGTTCCAATTTGATCTGATGAAAAAAAAGATTACTTTTCCAATAAAGAAAGCTCCTCCTTCAGACAAGAAATCAAATTATCTTCGAACAAAAATCAAGAAGGTGATACTGTAACAACCATGCAAGACGAATAATAATGTTCTTTTTCTATCTTTTTTTTTATGGTAAAAATTGTTTTCAATGAACGAATGAATAATGCGATCGATACATTTTTCGAGCAAAAATATATTAATTAAGATTAATAAAATTAAATTTCGTTCACCATGTATGGTGCATCTTCACCTTGTATATTGATATGCTTAAATGCAAACTAATAAGCATTCAGCGTGATCTCTATAGAAATAGCATCTCAAGCACGACTGAGAAATATCATTACTTCTATCATAGGATGTTGGAGATCAAGTATTAGCTGAGGAACAAAACGGAACTAACTGTTTTGATAAAATAAATTGGCTACCGTTATTTGGAATTTTAAAAGGATACCTTAGAGTGTGGATTTAGGTATCTTCTCTTCAGTCGTGCTTAAATTCACATCCTGTTTTATGGATTATTTTTCAAAACCATTAATTAAAGAGAATAAAATACTAATTGGTTTGGAATATGTTACACAAGGTGATTTCGAGGCTGATGAGGATCCCTGACATATTGTTGACGCAATATTTGTCATATATGTTCACTGACGAACTGCTCATCGTGTTAGTAATGAGTTTGTTAAGAAAGTAGAAGAATGACGAATGCCTCTGTTTTTTTGCAAAATGATACGTTGTAATTCGTTACGTCAGCACATTTAAAACAAGAAAGAAAAAAATATTATTGCGGTGAGTCACTGTTGGTCCTATATTTTGTTAGTTCAGATCAACTAAATGAGGATTATTTCAGTTCATCGTGCTAGCCGAAACTTTAATGTTAAAGATTATCCTGATGCATGTATACAAAATATCACTTATAAATGCAATGTTCCACATTTTCTAACTTCTCGACTAGTGCGGTTGAAGTAGAGATAGATAAAGCGGAGCTTTTTTCATGTCAATCTCAAGAACATAACAAAAACTGTATGTGTGAAACTATATTTGTTGTAAAACCTATATTAAGGGTGCGAACGAAGAAAGGATCTTCAACCATTGTTATCCACACTCTATAATTCAAGAAGCTCCCTTAGGAAATAGATAAACAAGAAATACAAGTTGTCTATTATTATTGGGTTGCCAAAGTAAAAGCATGTCTTTTTTTCAGTATCAGAGTCAATAAAAAAAGATATCGATAATGCCTTCAACGATTCTAGTGGAAAAACTGAGAGATTTTCTATGTTGTACATACTGACTCAGCTAACGATTCTGGAACACTGAAATGTTTCTCAGTCTGAACAGGTGGATTTTTTGACTAAAACAGACACTGACAGTACTAGAATGCTATGTGAAATATGGAATCATGATAGGTGTTTGAACTATCAAATACCGACCACATCACATCACATTTATCAATAACCAGTAGCAAATGATGGTGACTGTATACCAGGGCTGCCAAATCTCCTGATTTAACCAGGAGACTCCTGGTTTTTAGACTTTCCTCCTGGTGAAAAAATCTCCTGGAACCAGGAGCTGGTTTTCTAAGTTCTCCCATGGTTTCTTCTGGTTTCATTACTCTAAGTTTTTGTGATATGTTGAATCAATAAACCAAAACACAAACAACTATCACACTATTTCATAGATACAACAACCGATAAGAAAATACGTTGTTTTTGCTTGAGCTCTACAAAATTAAGATGGTCAATTTCATAAACAAATCCAACGGCAAAGACTTGTGTAACTGTGAATAAAAAGAAAGAGCCGACTGTATATTTATCGAATACATACGTTGCAAGAAGATGAGAATACTGAAGTGTGAGATTTATTGGAGGAAATTTTTTGTCACAAACTTTACCACATTAGAGGAAAAAACTGATTCGTTTTCATTGGAAAAAATTCAAATAAAAAACTGCTTCATGATCATGCATGAAAGTAACTAAACTTTATTTGTGAACATTAAAAGGGAATAGTTATCGAATCCGTTAGCTTGTTCATTTTTAGGAAAATGCACAAATTATCTTTCTTTCTCTTCGTTATGTATCACTTAGAGGATAGTCTTTGTCATTACTAACTTAATATTAGACAGAAACAGAGAGTTATCTGAACGAAAACTTCAGTTTCTTTCGAAACAAGTCAATCAAATAGTTACTTCAGTTCCATAAAGATCTACTGTTTTTTCATCCTGGTTTTTTGGTAAAATCTTCTGGTCAACTACTGTTTTTTTTTACATTTGGATTTAGCAGTCCTGTCGTAGAAACAATAGAAATCGCGTATATAGATTATAAATTGTGTACAAGTACACTTATCGAACAGTTATACAAAAGGAGTCGTCAGATTCAATTCGTTGTTATTGATAATCTCACTTTCCAACTCTTGATAATTTCTTCTTAGTCCTTGCAAATAATCAAGCGCTTCAGAGAGTTCTGTTGGTTCATTTTGTCCTTTAAAAGATTGATCTACTTGATTCAAACCCTTTTCGCAAAGATATTTGGATGTGACCATTTCATTGGCTAATACGCACATTTGTTTGTCAGTCAATGCAAGATCAGATTCATCGTCAAAAATATATGGACGACGATAATTAATTCCACATTTAAATCCAGTTGGTATCACATCAGAAAATCGCCACCATTGTTTCATATCCATAATCAATTTTTTGTCCAATTTCTTTTGGAATGATATTTTCATCTCGATAGAGTAATGTAGTAGTTAAAACCAACTTGTATGAAGTCAATTGATGTACAAAACAAGTCTTCGATTGAGAAAATAATGGAACACTCATTTCATACACTGATGGTGATTTAAAATCCGAATGTGTACTATGTGAAAACTGTATTAATGGTGAAAGAAATGATGAAACTAACTTCAAAGACGGAAAAGAAATTAATACTGTTTGAAATTCGTTCAGATCTGCTAATAAACGATCTTCAAATCTCATAGAGCATGTAATATGACTCCAACATATAGCGATTAATCTATTTATGTTTATATATGTGGGTATATCGATCTTGAGTCATTATTTACACAGACTGAAAATGGCTTGATTTTTTCATGGGTATAATGACATGAGCATATTTTAATAGATTGTACATACTGATGACATCGATAGATGTATCGAATACGGAATTCATTACAATAGTTTTAGTTAAGTAATCGAATGTCAGTTTTTGTAAAAGTTCAGAGATAAAACTTTAGCATCGACCATATGTTGCATGAGATACTAAAAAGCCTTGGAAAATATTATAATTTTCGACTTGCTTTCGGATTTGATCTAGAATCGATTCTGAAGAATTTGTCAACAAGTAAAATTGATCATTGGTAAATAGATTTCGATATTTGCTGAATTTTATCTTGTCCATTGTAGAGGAATCAGAATCAATAAATAGAAAACGAGGTCGATAGATTTTCTCGTTATCATTATTCTTGTTCGAAAAAAAACATGTGCGAGGAATACTTTGTTCTGTTTCATCATTGATACAACCATTAGCAGCTAAATTGTGCTCAAAATAATATAATTCCCAGCATCGATGACCAATTTCGATACCAGCTAATCCGATATGAAGTTGAAAGATTTCACGATGATTCACATCTGTGTCATTTGGCCATAACGAGAGAATCTACAAAATAAACATGATTATTCGAACGATAAAAAAAAGAACTATTGAGTGTGAGAATTTAACCAAATCTGATACTCAGTAATTCAGAAAGACGATTGTTATTAAAAAAGCGATCGAAGTACATCATAAGATACGAATACCAACAGTAATCATAAACAAAAAAAATTCACAAATTCCAAAGATCTTCATGATTATATGAAATGAACCGGATATGATTGATCAATTATGCACCCATCGATCAAATATGTTTCTTTTTACAAATGTAGAATACATAAAAATATACAAGAAACAGTTAAATTTTTATGATACTAAAAACTTAAAAAGGTGCATAATTTCTAAGTATTTTACAAACACATAATTACTTTCTTTGATGTTTTGAATATTTTATTGTCTCGTCCTCGTCCAAATTAACTACCATCGGTTCATATAGCTCACATCATCATTTTTATTCGTTATAGTAAAATTTTTTATCAAGTTATACAAGAAAAAAGAACATGAGAATCATGTCAGCCTTTTGTTTCTTTTTGTCGTTCTCCCATTAGTTACATCGTTGTATACTGCAAGAAAAAGAATACGATATGCAGTTTCTTCGAAACGTATGATTCATATTTATATTTTTGGCATTGGCATAGAAAATGACAACGTAATACTAGAAGCGAAATAAGAAAGATGTCAGATTAATGCTGAAACTTAAAACTAGTTTATATCGGTTATCGGTACTTATGCTACACACAGCATTGTGATAAAAAATTTGTTTTCTTTATATTTTGATTTTCTTCTGTGAATCTATGGTCATCTAGCATGAAACAACACAGAGCACGAAATGAAAAAAGGATTATATATTACAAAGACCAATATACAACAATCCTACTCAAGGTGAACACTTTTGAGTTCAATCAAGCATTCGTTATTCTCTAATAAATAGATTATTTAAGGATTTTTTTTTGTGAACCTTATTCTTGTGTAAAAATATGTCTCTTTTATTATGTTTCAAAGAGAATATTAGTGATTAAAAAGTACAGTTCAGTTGTTTATGCGAACTACAGGGTCGGTCAAAAGTCAATGGGCAGTATTTTGATTGTGAGCAACTCTTGATTGCAGCAAGATAAAGACCAGCAATTTTTGCCATTAGATGAAGCAATCTTCAAGATGTTCATCTCTATAAGATTTATTAAACCGGAAGAAGATTTTGATAGTTGTGGGTGTGCATGTAAAGACGATTCACATCACACACCCACACCCTCTACTATATTGTCCTTTTTTAATTGAACAATAGTTTATTAACTAACTGTATGAAAAAAAAAGAGAAAAACGAAATACATATTCAGATCAAACACATTTTTTTTGAACATAATTGAATTCAATTAGTTGCAGTCAGATTCTGTCGGCAGATTTCGATGCTTTGAGACAACATAAATATAACAAAAATTAAGTCATTGGATTCTTCGACATTCTATTCGATCCGACAAGTGTATTTTTTGTAGTGAGGTCACATAAGATATAAAAGTAAAATATATATTTTATGATTCGCATACTTCATTCTTTTATCAATGGAGCGCTTTAGTAATAATATAAGAAGTCCTTTTAAAAATATTGTTAAAACTCACATGACTTTCAAATTTCGCGAAAACTTTTGAAAAAAAAGTAATAAATCTATAACGAGGATCTCTGTGCTCATCATTGTTCAGTTTTGGCTAATTTTGTCTCGGATGCTGTTTTTCGAGAGCTTCTATGAACTTTTCTGTTCACAAGTAAATTTCAAGAAAGAGAGAGAAGTCTGATATTGGTAAGAAAAGAAGGGTGTGGGTGGGTGCGGGTAATCTTCTTCTCTTACTCCACATCCACACCCTCTATATTTTGCTCAAATACTATTTAGAATACAGTTTGACTTACAAAAGAAAAACACTTTCTTTAAATCTATTTGACAATAGAAAAGAACGTATGTAAAGAAATAATAATATTTATAAATAATAAGCAAATCAACGAATTTCATTTCAATTATTCAATAATCAATGCATATAAATATTCATCAATATCTTGGCCATTTTTATGTGCATGTTTAGGGAAAATGCAGAAAAAAATGTCCAAACAAAGGGAGAAGCGAGCGTCAAATATTACTGGACATCCATGTAGGGAGCTGCTGGTCCAAGTCGAAGTCTAGAAAAACTGAGACTTGCAACTTCCTATATCGATTGCATAGAAAATATTCTTGCTTAAGTCTCATTTACATAAATACAACTAACACCATTTCTTTCAAACCTAGATTTTAGTATTAGTGTAATTGTTCAATTTCTTTTCTTGTTAATATAGTGATTTTTTCGTTTTTTCTAGCATAGGCAATAAAAGTCTCAAGTCTTTTGATCATTCACTCAACTTGTTCTTGTGTATAGAGAGCGCGAGATATTGTTGGAAAAAAACTCGAGCTAAGATTCATGAAAACATTTCCTTTTTTTGTTTTTTACAGAACTTTCGAGGATATTTCGAAGTCTAATTTGTATTAAAGAGTGCTTTTGAAATAGAAAATGAACTGTTCTTTTTTTTTAAATTTTTGATCGATTTATTTCATGCACTACTGTTTAGTAAAAAGCAGTCGATGAACCTGGTTAGAGAGGGAAAGGGATCAAAAAATACAATCCTACACAACAAGGCTTAAAGAATTTTTGAAGTACAGAAGTGGAATTCAGGGAACTCTTCCAAAAGCAGACGAAATAGATCGTACATCAGTAATGTTCCTTAACAATGCATGAAGTGATTCGCCATATGGTATTTCTGGAGGATTACATAAAAGGATGATAAAGAAATGTGTCCTATGTCCGAGAATAGATAGAATAAAACAGCCTTCCATCAATTAGCAGGAGTAGATACATCGTGTTTCATATTTCTACCGCACCGAGATTGCACTAACAAATTTTTATGTAGGCATCCTTTATGAATAGCCTCTTACGTAGTACTTCTTCAAATACAAAACCACATTTTTCTGCAACTCGCATTGATGCTTTATTCCATGGAAATATTTGTGCTTCAATCCGAACTAAATTTTTCCATTCATTTTTTATTACTTCAATTACTATTCTTACAACTTTAGACATTAAACCACGGTGCCAATATGATTCATTTAACCAATATCCAATTTCTGTTCGTTTTTCATTTTTAACTGAACGATCAAGGCCACATTCACCTATCAATTCAGTGCTTGTCCGTAAACGAATAGTAAAAATACGTGTTAAATTTAATGAATCTAATTTTATTTTTTGAATAAAATCTTCACCATCCTTTGTTGTATATGGATATAGTATTGTTAATGAATTAGGTTGTAATATTGGGTTGTTAAAATATTTAACAAATGAAGGAATATCTTCATTTGTTAATATATTGGTTATATATATATATCATCATCAATATCGTAAAGATTTGATGTCATTATATTCTGAAAAAAAACAACAACAACAAAAAACAAAGAAAAATGTTTCTTTATTTACTCGGCTAGGTCAAAATACAAAATACGAGTTTATTTATATATGATATCAAAAGAGGAAGAACACAATGACGAAATGTTATGCAAGCCTTTTTTACGTATTTCTTCAGCTTTTCTGTCATTAGTTAACGTGATAACAGTTTTAAAACAAATTGAATTACTATTGCTTGTCTTTGATTCGTGATTAGTTGGTTCAAGATAACATGTTATATTATGTTTGCGTGTATTTTCATCAGCATCATATAAACGAGTACTTAATGCTATTGAACCAACGAGCATAGTTGCGATCAATTTGTTTGTTTTGCAATGATCAACAAAAATAGTGTCTCGTTTTTTTATATGACGTTATCTTTATTTTATCTTTGCCAGCTACATAATAAAAAGTAAAGTCTAATATTTTATTTTTCGTGAGTTATATAGATTATGCATGGCGCCAAGTGTAATAACAGCATTAAAAATGTTGTCCTTGAACATCGTCTATGTAAATCAGGTACTATTTGAATATTTTCGAAGAAAATAGTGAGTGTAAGTTTTAAGGTCAAGTTTTCGCGGCTCCCTCCTCCTCACTGACAGGCGACACTTACAGACAATAGCAGTCAAAAATAAAAAATGTTAAATTTTATAGAACTTTT